CCCCAAAACCCCAAAACCCCGTACAGTCATATTGTTGAAATTCTTAATATTTGATAAGGAAGTAATTAAATATTAAAGTATCTTATATGTTATGGTAAGATCATCATTTGCTAACAAATTCAGGCTAGACCCACTTATAAGCCATTTGACTATTTGAAACAAAGTCAGCTCCGTTTGGCTTTGGAGAACCGTTTAGCTTGACACTGTTATATTTAAGAGTAGCTGCATTGTTATGCATGTTGGGTCCAATTTAGCCTCCATTCTTAGGACTGTTAAAAAATGAATGGGTTGTAGATTAGCTTATCATACCCTGTCCTGGAATACCGAAATCGAAATGGTTTTTCCTAAGTTCACCCTTCTTTTCAACATTAAGTACACCTCTGAAATTACCTCCTTCTGGGGGAGATTAGAATTGATTTTAATGAGAAGTTTTGTAGTGAAGAGGATCAATTTAATCTGTATGATTTAAGCCAAAATGATTTGCTCTCAAATTTTTCTCAAAACTCATATCTGGTTGAGCAGCTTTCATATTAACATATGCTTGGAATGCAGCCCCTGTTGAAGTCTGTGATAAAAATTAGTTGTTCTCTCCACCAATCTAAATACTTGAAGTGAAACTCTTGTTATTATTGTTTTAAAGAGGCTGAGCATCCATAATATTCTTTGGGCCATTATAAAGTTTATAAGTAGTGTTAAAGAAGGCTCCACTCATGTTTTTATTGCCAATATCAAGAGAACTGTTTCTCAGTTTATTCTTGAGCTAGGTATCTTATTCAATTTGCCTCATTGGTTGTGCGAATCCACCATAGTTTTTGTTAACCGAATCATACATTGCTGGATGTTGGCCAAGTGAGAAATGAGCTTATCTTAAATTTTTAACTGCTTCCTTATCTTGAGGCACTGGAACAGCATTGTGACCTTTGAAGTGAAGCTGAGTTGAGGTAGTCATAGGATAACTATTTCCATCTCCAAATTGAATACTTGTCTTTCCTTATTCAATCTTTGCAAGTGATGTATTTCTGTTTTAAACAGCACTCTAATAATTGTTAAACACATTATAAGATACTTTTTGTGAGAACTCTAGTTAATGAGTGGTCATCATCAATCCACTCTGCCCTCCAAGATCGAAATGATGCTTTCTTAAATCATTCTTAGCATTATTAATCCTATTTAAGTTGTCAATAAATGTTGTTTTTTTACGGTTCAGGTTGAGTTGAAGGTAGTTACTTGAATCTTGAAGTGTTAAATTTCGATTTTGCTGTAGTCTCATAGTTAACAGGCTCATTTCCGAAATTGAAATGATGACCCCTCATTAGAGTAATCTTATTTTATGAATCCTGTTTATCTTAAGCAGTCATAGAGGGACTTCTATTAGCAAAAGCAGCTCCTGATGTTGATATATAGGTGCTTCCCCATCCACCTAGACCCCAGTGGGATTTTCTTAGATCAGCTTTGGTGTTAGCATCTATAGTAACAGCTTTATATGTCTCTGGTGGATGCTAATAGTTCTGCTAGTTGGTAGTCAAGAGTGACTTAGGGGAGGCTTCTCCAAGAGCGAAATTAGACTTTCTCATTTGAATGTCCGTTTACTTTGATGAAACTCCTAAATTTTAATGTCCGTATGGAACGAATTGAGCTTAAGTTGTAGACCTGTAAATTCCGCCTTCTAAATAAATGTTAATAGATAGATAAACTACCTCCTCCTCCGAGATTAAAATGACTAGACTTGAAGGATCTAGCAATCTCATGTCTTCTCTATGGTGAGATAATTTGCCCAATGTTCGGCTGCTCTTTTTAAGGAAGTTAATATTGCATATTGGTATTTATATTTTATTTTCTTAATATTTATCAAAGATATTCTAATTCATCGCACTGGGGTTTTGGGGTTTTGGGGTTTTGGGG